CGGTGCAGGCCTGTCCGGGAGGGAGGTGCGCGGCGCGTAGGAGCGGGCTGTGGGAGCAGAAATCGGTCTGGCTGGCACCTCTGAGCCAGCACGGGGGCTCAGCCTGCCACGCCTCGCTCCCGGGAAGCTTCACCTTTCCCTTCTTGCGTGTCTACAGTGGCAAAGCAGGAAAAAAGCGCCATCTGCTTCTACATAAAAGACAAACGTGGATTCGTTCCTCATATTCCTAAAAACACTGCTTCGTCACAAAGAATCCTCTTCAAATCACAAGCGTGTTTGCTTTGCGGTCTCCGCCAGCCCGCACGCTGCCGTGGCTCCGGCCCGGCCGAGCGCGGCCGGCAGGACGAGGCTCCCCTCGCACGCCAGCTCTCGTTCTCCCGGGCGGAACCCGCCCCTCGAGGTGCGCGGCGCGTAGGAGCGGGCTGTGGGAGCAGAAATCGGTCTGGCTGGCACCTCTGAGCCAGCACGGGGGCTCAGCCTGCCACGCCTCGCTCCCGGGAAGCTTCACCTTTCCCTTCTTGCGTGTCTACAGTGGCAAAGCAGGAAAAAAGCGCCATCTGCTTCTACATAAAAGACAAACGTGGATTCGTTCCTCATATTCCTAAAAACACTGCTTCGTCACAAAGAATCCTCTTCAAATCACAAGCGTGTTTGCTTTGCGGTCTCCGCCAGCCCGCACGCTGCCGTGGCTCCGGCCCGGCCGAGCGGGGCCGGCAGGACGAGGCTCCCCTCGCACGCCAGCTCTCGTTCTCCCGGGCAACCCGCCCCTCGCCCCCCAGGCCCCTGCGCCCGCCGCTGTCGGCAACGCTTCCCCGCGCCTGCATTCTCGCCGCCTCGCTGCGTGTGGATGTCGGGAGCGCTAAGGTAATCGTTTCCTGGCTGCCGAGTGAGTAGTTCACCTTGAAGAAGTAACGAGCTTTTAATTAGGGGAGGGTTATGCAGAATTTCCTGTTCTTTCGTGCGTGATGCAAAAGCCCTGTCTTACTCCACGTGTAACCGCAGATCAGGATCATATGGAAAAAAGGCATTTTCCTTTGAAATCGGTTCCCTCCTGAGGCATCTTCACAGAAGCCACAGATACAGGGACTAACTTTTGGAAACTTCAAGCTGACTCGATTTAAAAAAAAAAAAAATTAATAAATGAAACGCGAATGTGTAATCAATGTTAGTCCATCTGGAACGGGCATTTCCCACCCCATGGCTTGTGCGAACTAAAAGCAGGTTTCAGGCCACAACTGAAGTCGGCTTGTGTGCCTGTTGACACCCGCCACGCTGCGATTGCTTGCCAGCGTCTGCTTCCGGCTTCACCTGCTGTAGCTCAGCCTGTTCGTCTGCCTGACCAGTTCATGGCTTAAGCCCTTGAAGTCTTTCTATTATTTTCAAAGGATTTTGCATCAGGCAACAACAGTATTGCATAGGAACTTCCCTAAGCAATGCCCCACACAATGCCAGAAATGTTGCCAGATTGCTAAAGGATTGTATTACAAAATCCATGGACATGGACAAAGTGCGTGCTTTAATCATGTGCTGAAAGGCGTAACTCTGACCTAGTAAGTATCCCCACGCCAAATAATAGAGGTTAGGGTTTAAAATGTGAAAAGTGTTTATTTTACTTGGATTTGAAGATGGCTGAATCACACTGATTCAGACTTGCCTGAATAATTTTACCCCTCAACTAAGTACAAAGCTGCTGAATATAAATAAAAGTATTTGATTTGAAATGAAAAGCAATGTAAATCAAGCAGATCTGGGTACTTGATAATTCTCAATGATCCACATGAAAATATTTATTTCTATGAGGTGTAATTTCAAGAAATTGACAACTTAAAACACCAATTATGGAAATGGAATTCCCTGCCCTCCCGAGGCCCTTCCATCTTCATTTAATATCCTCATCAGTAAAGAGGATCTTAAGTCTGTTTTTGCAATAGAGGCTTCAGGATCAGAGGCAATGCTGTAGTACACATTTATATTGCTTTAAGGACACGTGGATTAGATGGAATCCATTAAATGGATTTTCAGGTTTAAATATGTGCATTTACAGGCATATTTTACAGATGTTATTTAGGCATGTAAGTACAGTCATGGCTATCTGCAAATTATTTTGTGTGTAAACAGTTCCAGGTTGCAAACATTCCAGAAATCCTAGTGTTAGTAAAGCATATCAGATCAAATTCATACATTTTTTACACGTTCTTCAGAAAACTTGTTGCAGTGTTTAAGGCTCCTGCTTTTCATTTAAGTTCGATTAAAAAAAAATTTTATTATCATACATGCAATATGTAGGAAGATGACACCTACTGGATATTTTTAATTTTGCAATTTGCATTACATAGTTTCAAATGTGGAATAATAAAATTCAACTTTATTACACAAGTGTAACTGCTGAATTCACTTCAGTTACACATGCAAATTCAGTATTTGCAGTCTCAACTTCTTTGTAAATTTGGGGATTAAATCCTATTCTAAGTAAATTCATAGTAATACTCCTGTAAAAAAAGCTTTCTTTGTTGGGGACTTGTGCAATTTCTTGTTCATAAACTAACATACAAATTAAGCAGAAAGCTCCTTTATTTGCCTATATACATTAATTGTTAAGGACAACTAGTCCTGAACGCCAAAGTGAAGGTTGTTCCACGCATCATTGTGACTGTGTGTACCTGACTTGGTAAATGTGTCAAGTGTCAGGCCTACACCCTGTGACAAGGCAGCGCAAAAGAACAGGGATGTTCTCCCTATGCCTTAGGGAGTTGTTTCATAATAAATAAGAACTTAACACTCGAAAATGCTTTCTGAATAATTGTAATACCCCTCCTATATCAGGCTATGAGTTAGAAAGTTGCAGATCATTTTATTTCAGGTACAAATATAAGTCACTGGAATTCTTTGATGTTCTATACAGCGTGTGGCAGAAGGTTGGGGTTTTACTCTCAGTCATGTAAAAATGATTTGGGGGGGGTGTTGACAGCTCAAAGTGGTCAAAATTCATGTAATTTTTTCAAAAGCTATTAACATTTTTCAATTTGAGCTTTTTAGAACAAGAGGAACTGCATAAATACAAATTATCAAGTGCAGGGTCTGATGGTTTCCTTGAGCTACAGCTGTGTAAGTGGCACGTGCTGAAACAACTGGACATAAAGCAATCTTTATTATCTTACGGAATGGTAGAACTGCATACTTTCTATACCAGTCTGCCGAGGCCACGTCTAGGGTCTGTGCCCGTATAGGATGGCCCCATCTAAACCCACTTTTTGGCAAAACAACTTTTGAGTTTTTAAAAGTCCTCCTTTTGCTTAAGTGCTCTCATGAGCCCTTCAAGCCAAAGGCTTTGTTGGTTTAACGCCAATGCTTACATCAGATATTATGAAATCACATGGTCTTGCAAAATCACATTTTTCTGAGTAAAAAGAATAAAAACGCAGTTTTTTCTAACTACAAGATCCTGAAAAGCTTTAAATACACACGATATCTTTGCCTTGAAATACCACAGGTAAATCTAGCCTGATCGAATAACAATAAATTTTGTAAGAATGAGGAACAGTTGGCTGCTAAGAAAAACAGTGCAAAATGTGCATGTCAAAAATTAGTTTTAGTTTGCAATGAATGTAGCAATCCATTAACTGTTTCCAAATTTCCTTTGTCCTTCCCAGATACCTTTTGCGGTGAATTACCCGATATCATTTTGCATTCCTTATATAAGAATAAAGCTCTGTACAGTATCTCTTTCATTTTGTCATAATGGCTTTTTCATTACAGTCAGTAAGGATGTCTATATTTTGGACTGAAACAAAACCCAAGAGTCATGAAAGGAACCTAAAGTGGATTTTCTTCTCCTAGGATGATACTCTAGTATAAAAGAGGCCAGCATATCTGCATTTTTCTAAAAGCCAAATACCAATGTTTTATTAACGCAGGCCTTGGTGGATTCAGCATGTGGGTGACACCCAGCTGTGCCTTGCTGAAGCTGCTCATTACCTCCCGCGGAGGACAGCTTGTGTCGTCGGTTCTGCCTGCCTGAACGCACTGTTTGTGGCTTTGTCAGTGTGTGCGCTACTAATGAGAATGAATTGCCAGCTAACGCAGATAGATGCGTAGACTTTCCTACATCTAACTTGTTGTTCCGCAGTTTGGTGTAGATTGACTTTCGTATGTGGCACTTCCAATGTGGTACTTGCAAAATATTTAAAGACTAACCTATTACTGCTTAAGGTTCAATGGAAACGATTTACACTCACATGACAATTTTTAATACTATAATTAAAGACATTGGTAGTCTTTGCCCAAGAATAGTTTATATCTGTGTCGTCTTCTGAAGAGAAAGAGAGCAAATCAAGATAACATTTGAAAAGCTAAGGTAAAACCTGTAAATATTGTTATTGACATAGGGACCTTTTCAAGATATTAAGAATTTCCCTATAAAAAATAATGTGTTTAAGATTAGGTATTGTATTAAGTTGTTTTTTATTCCTTTCTACAGCTAAATGCCATGGGCTTAGATAGCATTTCTTAAAAGAAGCTAAGAAAGCAGGAAGCAATTTACTCAGTAAACATTTGACAAAATAAATTGTAATAAGTTGTTTGTGTGAAAGATCGATTTTGATTTCACATCTGCGTGAAGTGACAATGTCCATAACATACGAGCGCTCATTCTGTTTCCCTCAGCGGAGGATGGCATTTTTATGCTTGTTATTTGAAGAGAATGCTCGCTTGGAAAGTTCAAAATGCCGGAAGAGTTTACTGTCTTGACAAAGCAAGGCACACACTGGAAAGTCAAAACACAGGGACAAGTCTTGGGTCATCTCTGACAGGAGACAAGACTCACGTACATGCATCATCTGCATGAGGAAAATCTCTTAGTTCTATAATTTTCTCCATATTCCTTTAATGACAAACTTTCTCATTCTGTTTAAAGTAAAGAGATGATTGCAAGAAATGGGTTAGAGCTTGCTGTTTATGGCTTTACAATTTTCTATAAAACTGTGCAGAGAAAGAGCTTTGGGTTTTGCCTCCTGTGAAAAAAGTGCGTAAAGAGAACAAATTATATTAACAGTTGCTCACTGGCATATTTATCTCACTTCCTAACTATGACCAGCATACTTAGCAAGGAGACAAGGAAAGAGAGAGACGTGGAATCTACCTAAGGACTGCAACCCCTTTCCTGGTGTCTCTCTGGCTACAGGAGGGATGTCCCGCATGCCATGGTCCTTTCTCTGCCAGGACGGCAGATGTGGACAACACCATCTGGTTGCCAGGCAGGGCTCTGCTGCCCAGCTCCTGCCGGGAGGTACCCTGCTTAGGGCAGCACTCACTTTTGGCTTTCTTGGCTCCAGTTCTCCTCTGTGCTGGGGCCTTTGGGAAATGCAGTACTTAAGATCGCTCCTCCCTGATCCTTCACCTACACTGTTTTTATTGTTGTTGTTTTGTTTTCCAGGCACTACATGGAGAAATGTCTGTCTTGCATGACTTGCCACACACACACACACATTGTGGCTTCTGCTGCAGAGGTTTGCCTGCTCTTCCACAGCTGTGAACTACGTATGCCAGACCTGATTTAAAGACTTAACTAAGCAAGCAAAAAGAAAGAATGATTAAAGATCCTGCTTTTTTTATTACTGCCAAGTATGCCTTTTTCTCCTGCCATGATGTTTGATTTTTCAAGTGCATCTTGCTAGAGATAGGCAGTATCGTGCTTGCCTGTTGGGTATCATACCCTTTCTTAACGGTTTCACCAGCCCCCACCCCCAGCCCTGTTATTAATCCATGGTGGAAAAGGCAGCATGCTTTATTGCAAATTACATAGTAAAAATAACTCTAGAATGTTAAAGTAGTAACATATATTTAAAGTATCTCAGAGCAGATGCTAG